GGGGAGGGGGAGGAGGGGCCGTTCAAACAGGGCCGCCCCCGCCAAGTGGGAGCACCTGAGGCCGCTGCAGCCGGACACGCTGCGCGTGAGTGCGGGGCGCGCGGGGACGGGGAGGGCGGGCAGGGGGTCCCTGCCGCGCAGCGGGGGCGCCGGGCGCTACCGGAGCCGTTCGAGGGTGTTGGAGAAACCAGCTGCGGGCTGGGGTGCCGTTTTGCCCTCCCCGAGCATCCGTGGGGACCAAGCATTCCACTACTGTGCATTCCCCGGCGGTGCTTTTAGTGATGTTATGAAATAGCTAATTAAAATTTGGCTTCCTTTTAATTCTGTGCGTGGTTTTATTAACTTTAGCTGCTGGGCTAAATGTGTCTTGGTAGCATCGTGTTTGTGCTGTGCAAAGGTTTCTATTTTTCCTTCAGTAGTTTTAAATTTCAGACTGCTGGAGTGGGCTTTTTTTCAAGAGAAAGGGCACAGTAACCGACCCACAGGGCCAGCCAGAGGTGCTGCTGTCCGGAGTCATTCTCTTATGGACCAGGAGATCAGGAATGTGGCATCTCCAGCTGCAGGGGCCATCGGGTGGTGGTGCTCAAGATGCTGAGGCAGCGAGGGAGGCGAGTAGCAGGGCATGGATGCTGGACTTGAGGAATGCAGATGCCAGGAACTGGTAGCTGTTACTTTTTTAGGTGTTTTTTGGCACGTTGTAGTACAGAGGACCCCAAGAGCTGGGACATCTGGTGAGGGCACCTTCATTCCAGCACAGAGATGTTGCATTCAGGGATGTTCCTTTGGGATACGCAGCTAAACAAGCAGATGTGTAGAGGCACTGTGGGCAGGGGGAAGTTGAGGGGAGTTCTGTGGGAGGTGGAGGTAAAGGTGGGCTGCAAAGGAGAAATAAAAACATCGTCTGGATATGTGGATATGATGTGGGGAAAGCTGTAGCTCATTTAGTGCTAAAACTGGCAAGGATGTCAAGGCTGACAAAGAATAAGTAACTGCTGCCTTAGCAGTGAAAGAATAAACAGGGAAATGTGGATCTGCTGTTGAATGTGGCAAGCAAGTTAGGAGCAGCAGACCCAGAGGAGTCTGAAGCACTCGGCCTTTTTGTCTGGGTCTTGAGAAGCAAGGTCCTCTAGGTTCTTGCATCTAAAGATGGGGCTCAAGGAAGAGAAGAGCTACTAGTATGAGTAAAGTATCAATTTATCGAGAAATTTCTATCCATACAAACGTAATGGGAACCAACAGGTGTCTCTAGAGGGATCTGGGAGAATTGGCTGATATAATTGTGAGGCTGGCCTCTATCGTTTTCAAGAGGTTATGGAGATCAGGTCCAGGTAGGTTAACCACGCTTCAGTCTTTGGAAAACTATGGAGCAAGTTCTCATGGAAGGCATTTCTGGGAGAAGGAGACACAAAGGAGAAGGAGGAGCCTGGAAACAGCCAGCATGACTTCTTGCTTGGCCAAATGGATTGTCATCTTTGATGAAAGAATTAGATCTGTAGGCACAAAATACACAAAATATTGAATATCATCTACTTGAGCAGGACTCTGGACATAGTGCCCTGCAGCATCCTTGTCTTCAAGATGTGATGTTACAGATAGTCAACTACTAGATGTATGAAAAACTGGCTGGATCATCAGGCTCAGAAATAGTGCTAGTGGTTTCTGTTTCACTTGGGAGCAAGTTACAAGTGGAGTTTCTCAGGGTTCTAGCATCTCTCTTATGGTGATCTGGAGGAGGACATGGGTCCAGAAGATGTTAATAAACTTGAGTGCTGCCAGCAGAGATCCTCCAGAAGTGGTGTGGAGATTAGAGCACGTAAGCTGTGAGGGAGATGGGTTGTTAAGCCATAGCACTGCCCCAGTACTTACTAGGAGGCTGCTGATGGAGCCAAACATTTAACAGCAGGATGAGGAAGGTAGAAAACAGGTATGAATTGAAATAACAGAGGTGAGAGAGGTTCCAAATTGGACGACAAGTTGACCATGAGGCAGCAGTGTGCCCTTGTGGCCAAGAAGGCCAATGGGATCCTTGGGTGCATTAAGAAGAGCATCTCCAGCAGGTCGAGGGAGGTGATTCTGCCCCTCGACTCAGCCCTGGTGAGGCCACATCTGCAGTATTGTGTCCAATTCTGGGCTCCACAATACAAGAGGGATGTGGAGCTGCTGGAGAGAGTCCAGCGCAGGGCTACAAGGATGATCAGGGGCCTGGAACATCTGCCCTATGAGGAGAGGCTGAGGGAGCTGGGCCTGTTCAGCCTGGAGAAGAGAAGGCTGAGAGGGGACCTGATCAGTGTCTATAAGTACCTCAAGGGAGGCAGTGAGGAGGATGGTGCTGGCCTCTTTTTCCCTGGTGGCCACTAACAGAACTAGAGGTAATGGGCACAAACTGAAGCACCAAAAGTTCCACAGGAACTTAAGGAAAAATTTTTTAACAGTGAGGGTGACAGAGCCCTGGAACAGGCTGCCCAGAGAGGTTGTGGAGTCTCCTTCTCTGGAGCTCTTCAAAACCCACTTGGACACAGTCCTGTGCCACGTGCTCTAGGGGACCCTGCATGTGCAGGGGGTTGGACTAGATGACCTCTAGAGGTCCCTTCCAACCTTAAGCATTCTATGATTCTGTGATAAGGAGAAACTTTTCACTATAAGGACAGACAAGCAATGAAAGAAGGTGCCCAGAGAGATACAGCCTCTAATTGAAGCTTAGAGACTTTCAGTATCCACCTGGATAAAGCCCTGAGTAAGCTGGTCCGATAAAAGAAGGTGCCCAGAGAGATACAGCCTCTTATTGAAGCTTAGAGGCTTTCAGTATCCAAAGCCCTGAGTAAGGTGATCTTCCCTCTTTGAACAGAGGGCTAGAATAGAGACCTCCTGAGGACTCTTGCAACTGGAATGAGTCTTATGAATTTGAAACTATTCCTTTTACATGATTTGAGTAGGGGTAAAGGAAGGGAATAGTTGGGATGGTCATGCCAGTTTCCACGCTCTGCTAGTCTGAAAGTCTAGTACAAAATAACTGTGGTTCTGTGTAATCTGTGTGTCTTGTTTATGTGAGCAACAGCTCCTCACAGGGAATGTCTGAAACTGGTGTTTACAGAGTTTATACGCATACTGCTTTTTGTTGGGACAATTCCCAAACAATTAGGGAGTTTTTGGTGGCATTTCCTGTTTTCCAAGGCAGAGGAAGATGTGTTGAGATTAAAGCTTGAAAATCTTAACAGGAATTGATAAGCGAGTATTTCTTCTTTCCAGTAGGTTTCCTTTACAGCGGTACTGGCCAAGTTATCAGTGATGTGATCCCCGTAGCATCTATAGCTGAGATGGGGGGCGGAGGGGGAGGTTTCACCTGAAAAAGCTTCATGTAGATGAAATCCTGTAACATCAGTTGTCCTTTTAATTCTGCAGCCACCAGTAATCAACCTGAATGTGGAAGATGAGGTACGGTTTGTAAGAAGTAAGTTCTTCATTCCGTATGTAAAGATTATCCTTAAAGTATATGTATTTCTTTACAATGTCAAGTATCTGCTTTAAACCAGTGCTGTGTATCTAGTAAAGACAGAAGAAGTTTGCACACTCTGTGAAATAACACAAGATAATGCAACACATTCTTAGTTTTTCTCTTTCTTCTCTGTGCCGTAGTTATACCTCAGCCTTCTATAACCAAAGTGAACTTAAGGGGAAAATGAGTTAAGAGAACATTATGTGGGAAAAGTCTGTATTTCAATTGGCTTTAACAAATGTAAATGCAAGCTTAAGTGATTTTTTTTGTCTGTCTCTTTTTCTCACTAGCTACATTTTCTTACAATAAGAGTCCAAACTGATTAGTGACTTGTTGAATCTGTTAATTCATGCTAAACTGTCTACACAAGCTTGCAGTCATGCAACAGATAGGATATTCCATGAATAAAAGTGCATGTTTTGTTTATCCTGGCAAAAATATTGAAGAATATGAAGAAGAATGTGCTTCACAGGGGAATTTCCTTACGTGTGTGCGCACCTTAGTGGTGCAGTCTTATTTCCTATCCAATCAAAGGGTGTCACTGTCGGGTTTGTTCTGCACGAGTAGATGCAGGAGGGTTTGTAAGAACTGGGTTTGACAGTCTTTCACTGACTGCTTGAATACTGCATAAGCATCAAGACTTTTTGATGCTTTAAAACAAAGGCATATGTATATATATGTATATAACACTCTAAAACCAACCAAACTGTTTATTAGTAACTCTTCTGCTGTTTCTGTGAATATGCTGATTGCTCACGCCAAGATGAAAATAGTCCCTAAAGCTAGGCTAACTCTTGAACTGTGAAATTATTTGGGAGATGGCTGGTTGAGAGTGCTGAGGCCAAAAGGATATGAAGAAGCATTTTAACAATCTAACCAAGCTAGTATTAGAGTTCCAGTTCCCAGGCAGGGCCCTGGCACTACCTAATACACTAACTTAGAGCTGAGCTAAGTTTTTACTAGTATTCACTTAGTAGTTTGAGCCTACATAGCCCAGTGAATATATGGTTATATAACTATTGATATGCTTATTAGCATGAAATTTGAAAGCATGAAGCTGCATGATTGCTTTTAGGTACATGATTTTTGGTTTGCAGTAATTGTATCTGTATTGTATCAACAGACTTTATATGATGCTGTCTCAGTGTTGTAATTAGTGCCAGTGTTTCAAAACTTTTGTCTTCACTGACCTTGTTTTAAGAACCACTTAATGTTGTTGCAGTAGTTTACACTGAATGTTGTATCAAACCTTTACAGAGACACTGAAAGTCACAAAGCCTCGATTTGATGCGTCCTTGGTTTATTTGACCCGAAAATTCATGGATCTTGTCAAAACAGCTCCGGATGGTGTCCTTGATTTAAATGAGGTAGCCACAACTCTTGGAGTACGAAAACGAAGAGTATATGACATCACCAATGTGTTGGATGGAATCCACTTAATTCAGAAAAGATCTAAGAACCTTATCCAGTGGGTGTGAGTTGGCTTTGAAACTTCTAGTTTTTGAAACAATGAAAAACAGCAATGCTAAGTAATATTTATAGTTTGAATCTTGGAGTATTTTAAGCATATTTAATTATTCATGATAAATGAAACTATCCTAAGGAGGTTTCAGACATGAAACTAATAATTTGAGCCTTTAGACTGTCTGAATTGCATACTATATTAATGAATATCAAGTGGGGGGGCAAAACAACAATGAAATGTATTTCAGCTGAGTAAAACATGCCAGAATTCCTTGTTGGTTCCTATTAATACATTTTCTGTATTCAATAAACATGCTCTTATTTATATAAACATACTAGACAACTTTGATATTCTTTTAGAGGTTCTGATCTTGATCAAGTTTTTGGAGGGGCACCAGAACAACAAAAACTGAGAGATGAACTTTCTGACCTGTCAGCCATGGAAGAAGCTCTGGATGAATTAATCAAGGATTGTGCTCATCAGTTGTTTGAACTAACAGATGATAAAGAAAATGCAAAATATCCTTTCAACTCTTACATCACATTATCTAGCACATGACTTGGGTTATTAGTACTCAAGTACCTAGTAATAGCTGCTACCACAGACGGGCAATAACGCTTGGTTACGTGCATAGTCATGTGCTCTCCTTTTGCAGAATCAGAGGCAGTTCAGCCCATTTCTAGGTGAGTGCTACTGGAATGACCTTTCAATTGCAGAAACTTGAGGTAGAGTGGGAGGAACTGAAGTTGGACTGTTTTCCTACTTCCACGGAAAGGAAAGCAGAGTATCTTAGTGGCAGAGAGAGTAAATAAGAGGATTATATTGAGATAAGTTGTTAGAAAGAGTAATGAGGGTGAGAGAGACAGAATGTTTCAATCTTACAAGTTTTTTTTTCCCTTAAATACAAAGAAGGGCTCTTTTCCTGTCAGCTACTACCTAATATTACAAAAGCAACCCTAGCTGAACTATTTACTGCTTTTCTTAAGTGATTTTCTTCAGTGATACTTAATATCATACTCTACGCCTGCCCACTGACAAATCGCTTCACAGAATCCTTGACCAATGTATACACTAGCTTATGTGACATACCAAGATATCCATAGTATTCAGGCATTTCAAGAACAGATTGTTATTGCAATCAAAGCTCCAGAAGAAACAAAATTGGAAGTACCAGCTCCTAAAGAAGTAAGTTTTATACATTTCTCAAGGAACAAAAGTACCAGAATCCGATCTTGCAACAGCAGTTTTGCAATTGCCTTCATTTTCCTTGTCCTGTATAGCAGATATTGGTACCTCCATTTTCTTGTGTTGCAGCTATAGGCAATAACTATAGCAGTCTGCACAATTTTGGTTTATCAACGTTATTAAACAATAAGCATGTCTGAGCTTTCGTTATTTGGTTTTGCTAGAGATAATGGAGCAGTTTTAGTGTTGCCTATTTCCAGGATCAGAATATGTTTGATAATCAAACTACCAGAATGCTGTTAACCTTTGCATACTAAAAGGGATATACTAACCAAAAGAAGATAAAAGAAGCATAATTTGTTAATGTTCTAACAGTAAATAAGTATTTTCCTATTGCTTAATGAATAGACAATTATTGTCATATAATACTAAAGCAGGATACGCACAGTAGCCAAATCAACAAGTTTTGACACTATAGTAGACTACGTCAAAATGGACTTTCTGTGCTGGTGTGGACTGTTGAAAAATAACTAATTTGTAAGATTTATTATTTTGTTTATATGCAAGTCCTTGTCTTATAGGATAGCATAGAAGTGCATATAAAGAGCACAAAAGGACCTATTGATGTGTATTTATGTGAAGTGGAACAAGATAAGCGAGGTGCCAAAGCTTTTGAAGATACAGATACTGTGACGTCTGAAATTAAGTCATCAGTACCTCCCGATGAAGGTAACATCTTCTATTTACAGATTTTTTTTTTTTTAACTGGACAAGTGTAATTTTCCAGGTATGGTTTAAGTGGTTTTAGCTGTGTGGGACTAGAGGAGGTGCCTGAAATGGAAGTTTATGGTGTTGTGTTACCTCCCAAGAGTGGAGCCCAGCAGTGCAGCTAAAGACGAGCTGCTGCAAGAGCTGAGATTCTGCCTCAGATAAGAGGCTGCGCTGCTCTCACTCCCCAACTGCCCTGCCTAACACGGGGCAGGCGTAAGGGGAGACAGTGTTTTAAGCTCCTGAAACACAGTTAGCTGTAACTGTCTCCCAGAGCCCCGGTGTTGCAGGATATTGCTTCTTAAAAATAAGTGTGACAGGAATTATAGTAGCTCAGAACACAAAAGTTGATTTATTTTTTTTTATCTTCTTTTTAGTAATGCACCTTAATAGATGATAGGAGGAGATGGCTTTTTGATTATTTTTATTAAGTCTTACATTGCTCTTAAAACAACTTTTTGCTGTTTTCATTCATTGGCATTATAAACTTTCTTTTTTTCCCTCGCCTTTCTTAACCAAAATAAATCATAAGAGAAATGACTCTTAACATTCTTAGGGTGATTCTTTGCAAAACGCTTATGAGGTATAGTTCAGAATGAGAAAATGTGACCAGCAGAGAATTTAATATTTGCAACAACTAGCTTGAAAATGTATATTATCTAAGTAAAAATAGCAAGTATTATTTTTTACTTTAAAGATAGTTTTGTGGAATGCAAAACATTAATATTATAGTTTGGAGTAAGTATTTGCTTCAGCATTGTGGCATAGCCCAAGGAAAGCAGTTGAAAATGGTCTTTTGAGATTGACTGCTCCAGCTTCTGTGGAATTCCTATTTTTTTTTTTTTTTTTTTTTTTTTAATTTTGGGTAAATTTTGAGGCCTAAAGTTTATTCATCTTAGAAGAGAATTATATCATGGCTGATAAGCACTGTGTGATGTGCAAACCTGAGCTCTTTGAATGGTATATTTAGCAGTATATTAACAGAATGAACAATGCCTTCAGACTTTCCCTGTGTGCTTTCTTTCAGTGCGCAGGTCTTAGAAGGAAATGTGCTTTATGAAATGGTTCTAGATATTCTATATTAAAAGCGGGTACAGTGCACACATCAATGCGGTGCTTACTCAGAAACACTTCCTGAAGACAGTAATCTTTTCCTTTTTCCATTTCTCTTTCAGAGTGAGATCTCCAAAAGCAAGCTGTGAGATGTAAGAGATGAATTACAACTTAAAATCTAATGCAGATTGTAAATATCTGTGTTATAGAGCCTTTTCAAAACTGCTTGGAACTGCAAACTTACTGACCTGAAATGCTGCAAAATGTTTTAAATTTAAAACAGCAGTGGGTTGGTTGAGAGTTTTCACAAGCCTGCTTATCTTCCTAAATTAAAGGAAGACAGTTCCTAGAGTTGCTTTTAGGAGTTTTGTTTTCATATTTGCATGTGATCTACAGTGCTTTGGGAAAACGGCCCTTTTAGCTTATGAAATAACTTTAAATTGATGGAAAACACAGGCAAGAAATAACTTGTAAAAATGAAGATCCAAAAACTATTCCTGAACGATCCACAATCCTTGTAAGAATGTACATAATAAAGAAATGCACTTTTCAGTTCCAAAGCGTGCTGCTGTTACACTTGTATTTGATATTTCTGTTTACCAAGGAACCAGTATATTGGAAGTGTTCACTGTAAGGAACAAAATGTAAATATAATGAAAGTTTTGCCTTACACTGTATAGGTGCTGTTTGCATCCAGCTCTGCAGGAACTGCGATATCAACATGAAGTTAAATAAGTGAGCTTTTCTGTATATATCGATACCAAGTTTAGGTAGTTGTTGATGTAGATTTATGGAGATTATTTGCATTTCTGCCTTTGTACAGCAAATAAAATAAGCTTATAAAAATGGTCAGCCTAACAGTACTTAAACTTCATTTTGGGACTTGTCTTTAAACTGTTGTAATGCACTGGATAACTACAAACAGTAAAACTGATAAGTTTTTTTTTTTTTTTAAATCTGATAAACATGGTGCTGGCAGATAGCTTTTAGATCCGCATCTTGTGATGCCGCAGTGCTCTAGCAGTTGTCAGAAAAGAAAAGTACTTATCACTAAATACTTAAATTGGTCACTTATTGTCTAAAATATAGGGATAGCATAGCCTGAAACTTTGTGGCTTCTCCTTGCAAAAATGACAAATACTGAAATATTTCATAACTACATTAAACTTCTCTGCTCATCTGTCTTCTGTACCTGTGCAATGAAGCTTTAAAATGTTGAGCCTGGCTGTGCTTAGTGAATTAACTATTACCATACAGCTGACAGAGCCTCGTGTCAGCTTTAGAACATGCATTTTCATAGTGTCCTCTGTGTGATGGAAAACGAGGAGAAAAAGAAAAATACCCTCAGGACACAAACTCTTGGTTTTCCAGAGAGGAGAGTATCGGCATCTACCCATCTTTCTGTAGCTGTTAACATCTACTCATAGATGATCACGTTAAAGCCAACACCACCCTCCCTGCCCACCACATTTAACCAGCATCTCTACAGCTCTTTTAGGCAGACAATGTAAAATTAGTTGTTTTATACTCTATTCGTGAAGTGGAACAGTTGCCTTAAGAGCTTAAATTCACCTTCCTAAAGATTCAGAGTCAATCCATTTATCTGCTAAGTTTGTTAGTTGTTAAGCGTTATGGGAAGACTAAACCTTGTGTTGTAAAGTAATACTGACTTTATGTTCTAAAGACTGGGAGAAGCCGTAATATGGCAGTTACACTTGAGCAATTTTCTTAAATGCCCTAAATGGTTTTAACAGTGCATGTTCAGTAGAACAAGTGGGCTTCTGAAGCCACTGAATATTCGTAGTGTGACTCACGGGTGATAATGGAAAGCCTTGAAGTTCTGCACAGGCTCCCCAAGTTAGCTGGCTCGCTGGCAAGGTTCATTGGGACTGTGGGAAAAGCTGGTGAGTGATCCTGAGCTCAAACACATGGTACAACCTCACTTAAAGTGGATCTGATAAGATCTTACTCCATGAATTTGTATAATGGTTGATTTTTTTTTTTTCCTTAAGGGTTACTTAAGCTATTTTTGTTGAGTCTTAAGCTATTATTTGTGTGTGTAAGCCCTTCCCTCAGGTATTTGAGGACTCTGCCTGCAATAAATTAAAAAGCTCTAATGACTTATCACTTTTTTTCTTTTTCTTTTTTTTTTTTTTTATCTTTCCTTCAATAAGAATGGCTGAGCATCTATTTTCCATTAACTGGTGGTAACACCAGTCAGGATCTGTAATTATAAAATACCCTGTTTTTCCTGACTCTGTGGTTGGAGCAGATTCCACCACTTGCAGTGTGTCTGAACAGCAGTTCGGACCTCATTTGGAAGGGCAAGTTACTCCTTGGCATTTTCAAATGTGGATAAAGGTCTTAAAATAATGATTTGTAGAAGAGATGGAGTTGTTTAAAATTACTTTCCATGAAGTATTTTAAGCAAAAGCTTTCCTTTTCATTCACATGCATCTTTTGAAGAGCCTCGTGCATAGGCCTAATTCACTACTCGGATTTCGGGAGTCACTCGGAAGTGCGGGCGCTTGCTGGGCAGTTGGGTAGTCCCCAGCAGACGGAGTTTATTGCAAGCTCCAAACAGCTTCATCTTCCGTAATCTCGGTTCATCTTCCGTAATCTCGGCCCCTGGGGCAGTGCTGAAACCCGCTAAGCGGCTGTGGTGTTTTCCCAGGGCAGATCTGTGCGTTTTGGCTCCTCTTCTGCTGTGCTAATACTAATTTGTGTAAGGTATGTTGAGACTAAAATGATGTAAGTTATACTTAACTGTGTATTATTTTGCATAAATCTATATGGGTGTTCTTACACACTGATACACTGATGGATGTGATAGGCATTTCTAAAAAATATGGTATATGCTTGGAAGGAAATCTTATCTTGATGCTTAGAGAAAAAGATGTTTATTCTCTTCATGTACCTGCTGCTGTCATATGTGATCCCTTTTCCTCCTTTCATCCTATGGAAGTCTGATAAGGGACTATTGTAAAGGCCTGTGACTGTGCTGTCCAAATACCCTATACGTGTATTCAGATGTGTAGTAGCTTCTCACATGATTATCCATGATGGGGAGCATGTTTGTATCATCCCTGGATTAAGGGACAGGGCTCTAGAAGACAAATAATCGCTAAATCCTAGAAGTTGAAAGAGCAATCCCAAAAGATAAGCCCTCAAAACCTCATTAGTCTTTTACTGGCTCTTCTTAGGCCTCTAATATTTCACAGAATCACTGGATGGTTGAGGTTGGAAGGAACCTCCAGAGATCATCTAGTCCAACCCCCCTGCTCCAGCAGGGACACCTAGAGCACGTGGCACAGGGTGGCATCCAGGCGAGTTTGGAAGATCTCCAGAGAAGGAGACTCCACAACCTCTCCGGGCAGCCTGGGCCAGGGCTCTGTCACCCTCACAGGAAAGAAGTTCTTCCTCACATGGAGGTGGAACTTCCTGTGTTTCAACTTGTACCCATTACCCCTTGTCTTGTCACTGGCCACCACTGAGAAAAGCTTGACCCCATCTTCCCTAGCATCCCTATTTACTAGCATCCTTCTTAAAAAGGAAATCTGCGTACTTGAAACGAAAGCTTTAGGAAACTAAAAAATCTCTGCAAGAAGCTATTCAAATTGCTGGAATAATTTTTCTTTCTCTATAGAGTCTAATGCAGATCCTGTACAGAAATTTTTAGATAATGTGATATTCTTTTGCAGACAGGCAAGCAATTTTGGTTGTATGGCTGTCATTTGCTAAGGAATTCTTCTTTCAACAGTAGCTGTGAAAATGGCACAAGCAGGTTAGAGCAGTAGTTGTTGCTTCTTTCACTTGCGGCCGAAGTGAATATCATGAACAATTAAACATTAAAGTTTTTCTTGTGAACTAGAAAATGTCAGCTATAAAATTTAAGCAGGCTGGTAAGGGAACTTTATATATATGTGTATATGTGTGTATATATAATTGTATATACATATATATATAAAAATTACAAGGCATGCAAATTCTTAAGAAATTTGACTCCTAAAACTAGGAGTATGCACAAACAATGGCCTTAGAAGAGCTCATTTCTAAATGTGAAAATATAAGTTATCCGTCAAAAGAAAAGTTCAAAGTCCAGTATAAGCATTTTCAGAGTTTATGGGGATAATAAAGTTTTAAGGGGGTTATAAATCAGTGATGTGTTCAAAGCTTTAATCACAAGTTAAGATCAAAATAGCTGCAAACTCAAGGAGTAAGGCAAGGTCAAGAGGCCCCGTGTTTATTATTCAGCTCATTAGCAGTAAAGGTTGAGGCTAGATGCTGACTTCTCTGAAGATCAAGATTTCTGACTTAGCATAACCAGAATAATTGCGAACCAGAATAATTCTGAACAGAAGAATTCCGGATCTGGCAACATCAGCAAAAGCAGGATTTGCCTTCATTACTTGCAGCAGTGCCTCTTTGCAGGCAGTTAACTGCTTGCATTGCCTTCACAAGCACACAATGAGGAGGTCCCTTATGAAATGTAACATACCTAACAGTGCTGATACATACAGGAAAAGCCATAAAGTTTTAATTTGGCACCTGGAACTAAGAAAAGTATTAATGTGACTTTGGAAAGGCAGGCACGTGGTAGAGGTCACCGATGCTGTCACTGATAGAATGGATCTTTCCACAAACTACCACGAATCCTCCCTCTGAAGGGAGGCAACTACTAGGGGCAGAAATCCCCATGGTGCTGCAGAAAGATTCAATTCTAACAGTACAGTAAGGTGTGCAAGACACTCAGAAGGGCAGGAAGCTAGCAGAGTTGATGCTTTTTTTATGTCCTTATGCGGCTGAAAGTAAAAAAAAACACCTGTGAAACGACACAAAATGATCCTCCCCTGGGGGAATATTCACGAGAGAAACACAGAGATTCATCTCAAGAACTGCTGCTTCAGTTCTTGCTGGCATCAGAGGATTTAAAGTAAAATACATCAGAATCATTAGTGCACCTGTTCTACAACAATTTCTATGTGTCCCTGTACCTTCAATGTCTCTTTTGAGGTCACATACATCTTAATTGCAGATTCTTTTCCTCAGAGTACTAAGAAAGGGAATAAATACAAATATCAGTTCTTTAATTGCCTAATCTGACTCATAAGTTGGCAGTTTCTCAATGTGTTTATCTGTGGTTTTGATTTGTTTGTAAAGTGTCAAAGGCATCGACTCCACTAGGTAGATGAAGAGAACAAATGGAAAATATGGATTACTGAGTATTTACTGTGTACTTCTTTCTTTCTTCCAATCTGAAAGGCTTCAGGCTGTAGGAGAAATTTACTGTAGATTTAATCTCAGGAATCATAGCTTTTGTTCAAAAGGCATTACATTTGTGAAATTAAAGTGATCACTTAACAGAGTCTTCAAAGTAAGTATCTTTCATATTAAAATATCTTCTATTCCTAATCTGTAAAATTCTGCTCCTTTATTCATGGAGAAACTAGACAGTGGTATCTGTTAACAGTCTGGATTGGAGGAGCT